TAGGTTGACCGATATTAATTTAAAGTGTGGGAAGAATAGGGAGCACAGTGTCTCCCTCACTCTATGGGACATACAGTATTTGTGAAGACTTTGGCTATCGTGAGGCTTTCATGTTTGCTTGGTTTCGGGGGTTTATGTATTAATTATAACCAAGTTAAATATTTCTAAGCTTTCAGAAAAGTTTCATAATTATGACTTGGATGTTGACATGAACACTATTTACAAGTCTGAAACAGTATTTGGGATATGACATAATTGCAGCATTATGTTGCCACAGAAAAAGTTTAATCCTGTTCCTTTCTATTATGTTCACTCTTTTATAAAAAGTCAGACGAGATGCTAACCAAGCAGCGATCTCTGTGGCTGGCAAATGAAGCCAACACGGAAGTAACGAAAACTGCAGTGCCTTGAATGGCCTCTTGGGGATGTCTACAGTAGTGAGTAATCTCCATAAGGCCCCATATTAAAATGCCCAACTTTACCTCAGAAATAAACATGTTTACAGCCTGGTACAAATACGGTTTTGGTTTCTATAGCTAAATTCTCCCTTAATGACATCTGTAAGTGGGGTGAATAGTTATATAACTCACCTGTTTAAATTATATCAAGGCTTAAAATTAAGCAATTACGGACATGGCCGCTTTGAATGATAGTTGGATGCCGTCACTGGTAACTATGCTTCATTTGGCTCACCCACGCTCCAATTATTTGCTCATTTTATAAACTGGGAGCTTAATCATCCGGATTGGCGACGGCCAGAGCCAAACTCTGTGCTTCACAAACGCTCTTCAGAAACCTATGTGGGTGATGTCACAGACACTACGTCCATTTTTAAATATACAGTCTATGATCCTAACATGCAACCTGGCATGAAACATAATAAGACTCCTGCTTTATTCTCTTCCCTGATTGATTACACGGGACATTTATCCTCGAATGACATCATGTTCCTTAGCTTTTTAACTAGATAATCAGTAACATTTTACTGTTGTTATTAAGAGCCAGTTTGTTACAAAAAAGATGTTCATGCTTTGCAGCATGATAGGGGAATTTCAAGAAATGATTTGAAATCCATACAAATCTCCTACAAAAAGAAAAAAAATCTTGCTGGAAATTAATGTTGTGCTTAAGCATTGCTAGGACATCAATAGCTGGTGCTTTTTTATATTTCAATCAGACTCCAGTTTGGAAAGAGATCCAACTGAAGACCAAACAAAATCCAGCCAGTCAAACTTTGCATATTTGGATTTTTCTGCACAGGTAGGCAAACATAAGCTTTCTTGTTCTCTATCAAAGCTCCTTTGTCACACTAGTAATGTAAGCTTGTACAGAACATCTGCTCCACAATTCATGCGGCACACTTCATGTATGAAAGGTCATATTTGCTCTCAGTGAGCTGACTTATATGAAACAGTGGGAACAGTTCCTATACAAATGCTGAGCCAAAATCACACAAGGGCACAGGCGAGAGGGTGGGTGGGCAAATGAAATACAGTTTGAATATTTATTAAATTTGACTTCCACTGAATGATTAGGTAAAGCAGCGAATATAAGAGTGCTAATCTTTTTACAGCTGCCCAAGCTGAATAATAAAATGTAAGCACATAATTAAACAACATCTGACAGTCGTTCCTGTAGCTCTCACTGTACACTGAAGTTAATGAAGTCGAAGCCATTTGCTGCTTCTGTTACTTCTGCGTGTTTCTAAGTGTGTAACTGCAATTCAGAAAGTTCATGTTAGAATGAAAGTGGCACTGTTGCCTAATTAAGCTTCACAAGGCTGTAGCTCCTTCTACACATATACACACACACAGAGAGAGAGAGAGTCAGAACACATCCCCTCACTACATCAGAGGAGAAGAAGCAATTATGGTAACTCAGGACAATGGACTATTACCATTGATCTTAGCTTTGCTCTTTTATCAGAAAAAAAACATGACAAGGTATTTAAGGCGGCAATCAGCCATGCGATGATAAAAGACCAGTAGATACACATCAGAGGGAGGCAAAATGAGGTAATTGAAGTGATTTCAGTGCATCTCAGATTCTGATCCTCTCACTGTGAGACTGAGGAGGAGCGACAACCCAGTGAGAAAGCCAAGTCATCTTCTGCCATTGTCAGTGCCAAATGATACCGCACATTATAGGAGAGTAATTAGACTGAGATCAAAGAGCATCTTAACGGTAATCTGCTTGAATGCATGATCAATTGTCTGTGTGGTGAAATATTGATCCTCGTGCTCTGGCAAGACACTGAATTATGGGCTTGTCAGGTGATTTTAGGACCGTAAGGATCGGTCAGTCAACCACTTTAGTCCAGACTGACAATCCTAAAAACTATCAGATGGACTGCCATAAGATTTTGTACAGACCTTCATGGGCCCCCTGATGCAGTGGCTCTTAGAGCCCAACACACTGCAACTTAATTAACAAAATGTCTTCAGCAAGTGGACAGATGCACACTACTAGAAGACATGCAGCAAAGTGATAAAACACAACCAAATACAGAATTTTGCTGCAAATACAGAAAACACAACTAAATACAGAAATTCTGCAAGCAGCACAGATTAGGCTGGGTTATATGGCAAAAAAATATTCAATCGATATTTATCACATTATATAATAAAATGTTGTTGCCATTTTAAATACTAAGACTGTAGCCTGAAGAAAATAGCAGAGGGTCCATTAGTTATATAAACTTTAGAACATAGTTTATTAACATAATGAAATATAACATAATGTAAACCTTTAACAGTGCAAACGTGCTTGCCTTGTAACTTAATAAAATGATGATGTGGTCACTGAGATGGTACTACCTTCAGGTGATGGAAAGGATTTGAGGCTTCCTGTGTTTGCTGACTTGGACTGATGGCAGGCCGTATTAACCTGAGCATTGTAACCTCTATCCAAACCACTTCCATACAATTGATATTGTGTTCCCTCTGCTTTGGAGGATAACGGCTCTTAAGCATAAAAAGCTTGTGTTCTGCTTGTTCAACACAAATGTTTGTTAAATTGATTGAACTGAGATCATTTTGATCTTCTGACCTTTCAGGTCATATGTTTATTTGTCCAGTATTCAGATTTATGGCTGCAATACCCTTCAGTCTCTGTAGTTTACTTTGTATTAAGTGCTAATTAGCAAATGTTAGCTATCTAACACACTAAACTAGCATTGTCATTGTGACCATGTTAGCATGCCAACGTTATAATAGCCTGGCTTACAGAGCTGCTGGCATGGCTGTAGACCCTTAGCCCTGTTTTTTGGGCTTTTAGTGCCTTTATGATAGTGACAGCTG